TTTTATTAAACATATAAAACATACATTAATTAATTACAGTACCGTTGCTAAAAAAATTTAATTAAATTTACAGTAATTAAAAAATTATGAAACATTTATTTCTGTATGTATAACGGTGAATTTTCATGTAAATATACAAGTTATTAAAAAATTGAATTACCGTATGCAAACATAAAATGAATTTATCCCTTATGGCATAATAAATGTAAAAAAAACGCGTCTTTTCTTGATTTATAAATACGCGTGTTAAATATTGAAAAGCGTGGGGTTTATGCATTAATCACTCGACAATTATAATCCATATATTCGAAATTTAAACGAAATATTTTAAAGGATAACATTTATCACGTAAAAAGAATTAATAATCTACTTTACGAATAATAACAATAATTTTATTACTTTATAATTTTATATAATTACTAACTATACATATATAATTATTATTCTTGTATCAAAAATCTTAATTTTAACATTATTCTAAATTATTTATCGCAAATACCTTCTTCATATTTATTGTAAATAACGTTTTTATATTTCCATTCCTTTCTCTTTCTCTTTCTTTCTTTCTTTTTTTCTCTAAAAATCTCTCATGCAATTTTTCTCATCTGCGAGTTTTATCATGTCATAAAAGGTATACATTTCCACGAAAGGTATACTGAAAATTGCTAGATATTCGCGTCTGATGCGCCAGCGAGATTATACACCTCAGTTCCGAGATCCAATACATCATGCATGGGACTTCCATTTCTATCACTAGAGTGTCGCATCGACAAATATTTTATTCCGCTGGGACACGCGCATGTATACAAAGTATACAAGAAAGCTGTCATAACTGAATTTCCATTCTATTTGTAATAACTTTTGTTTGATTTTACTTGTGTCTTTTCATCTTTTTGTTTTATACGATGCATAGCATTCGCTTTTAGAGAAATTGGAGACGCATACTTTTGGACATTAATATCTTTGAATCACTCTTGCTATTGATATTCCATTGTAAACATTTTTCTGAACAAGTCTGACTATCTATGTACATCTTAATTAATTATAAATATATTTAATAAAAATATATTTCAAACATATTTCTATTAAATAATAGAAAAGTTGTAAATTGAATTTTATTCGTGCATGCAAAAAATAAAACTTAATCTTATTTTCTTTACTTAACTTTACTTAACTTTAATTATTTTCGATTAAAATTTGCTTCCATGGCATAGGATTTAATGGGGCATTTAAACTGTCTATATATATATAGACATAATAAAACTTTCGTTTCGGGCAAATCACTTAATATACATATGCGCTACATAAAAATTGTCAAGGTATCAGATGTTTTTCGATACTGAGACGTCCTACATAAATAGTAGGATTTTATCATAATAGAGTTTTGATATTTTTCAAGAAAAGGACTTATGTAGATTCTTCGATGTATCCTACGTGGATTACATTGAGGCGAACATGTAAAAAAACATTTCACCCGAGCGTATCGGGTAAGGACACGGCTCACGGCTCACGGTGAATAATTCCGTTCGCAGGTCCAGCTTGACTCGCGCAGAAGTGGGCCGGTCAGCCCCGAGGCTGTAGGCCAGTTCGTATTAAGTACTCGAGGACCAGGCGGAAGGAAATTCGTAAGAAAGAGACGGGCCGAAGGAGCGAGAGAGAAGGAAGTGGAATTTGCTAGAGAGAAGAAAAGAAAGCCGAAAAATTAATTGGCTCCAAACACCTTACGGTTAAAAACGAAAAAAAGACATCGTTCTAAAGATCGATCAACGTGTGCGGAGATAATTGCGTGACGATAATGAGATCGGTTTAGAGGTATCGCGTCGATACCGAGCGGAGATCATGATTCAACAATGAAGAAACAAGGTTGAGAGATTCAACGAACGCAAAAGCGTCTGCGAATCAAGAGTGAAATGTTCCTGCCGGCTGTTTCTGAACGCGGAATTGCGAAGAGAGGTCCGTGTGGAGGAGAATAACGGTTAGAAAATTAGACGCCGGTCTGCCTCGAGGCAACTTACATTTTCTACCAGGGACTAGACGTGCAGAAAATCGTGAGAGAGAGAGAGAGAGAGAGAAAGAGAGAGAAAGGAAGAGACTCTAACCTCGTCAAGAACAAAGTGAAGTCAAAGCTAAGAAAAACGTGGGGTCGAGCGAGAGTAATCAGCACGCGCCATTCTAATGGATATGATTATAAAAAGAGTCAATTTTTAAATATTATTCCACCATTATGAAAATGTCTCATTTATATGCCTGTTGCAAAATATGGAAAGAAAAAATTGTTTTTATAAAATAATTTAAATGTTGTATTTCTATGTGTCAAAAAGAAAGTTTACTTATAGTAATTTCAGAGATCAATTTCAAGAACGAGAAAGCTAAATTAATTAAACGCTTGCTAATCAATTTAACGTGTAGGGCATGAGAGTAGAACGCGCGCAATCAAGGAATAACATTGACGTAGAAACGAAGATGTTGATTCAAACAAGAATAGTATTACAGGAGAAATTATGCTCGTTTACTTAGGAGAAATTGACCACGCAGCATGCAATCGAAGAACCTGTTCTCACAGTGTGTGTGCAAACAAACAAATAATCTTAGAAATCACTCTCTCAATAAATAAATCTGAAAAAGAAAGATATGTGGTTGAAATTCTAACCAGAACCATTAATTCAATTAATTGACGTCACTCATACACGTGAAAGACTTATGTAGGTAGTAATTTTAAAGATAATTTCTATTTGAAGAAACGCTCATCGTAGAGTATTCGAAATTGATTTGACTGACGAAGATCTAAAGGCAGCTAAGGCATACGCAAGTAAATTGACAAAAAGAGACATCATTTCGATAGATTCGCCTTCGAATACATCGTGAAAAGTATCAATTTGCGAGAAAATACGCGGAAGGTGGGACGCCGAGCCAAGGTTCGCGAAAACGCGTGGCTGATAGGTCAAAGATCGCATCGAGGACAGAGAGAAAGGACCGTGAAAGTTACGAAGCGGAGGTAGAAGAAAAGCCGACTTGAAAAGTGGATGGTGCGTCCCGGAGACGGAGGGACCGTCGTAAAGGTGATTCTCAAGTAGCATTTTAACCCCCGGTCCCACGAAAGGAATAAATAAATAAAGAGTTCGGCGTCTACGTCAAAGGGAGATAAAAGCGTTAGGAAAGTAAGGCGGTGAAGTGGGCGCGAAGATGAGCAGGCAAAGTGTACCACCCCCAGGCATCAATTCCTGCGAGAGGATCAGGCCGGAGCGACCCAGAAATACGATACAGAGGCTGGTATGGGGTCCCGGAACGCAGTTCCAGGTCGGTCATATGGGCATCCCAGAGGATGAGGGCTCGAATCCGCGGATGGCGTTAAGAAGGTACGTGAACCATATATTGCGGAAGTTATTAAATTGCTAAAATCTATTGAATCTTGGTGTTTCGAAGCAGCGATCCTCAAACCCTGCAAAAATCGTGTATGTTATTACCTGAAAAAGTGATAGTAGGTATTCGCGTAATCTTGTAAAAACTAGAAAGTAAAATTCGGTAGAAAGAAATTTATAGGAAATGAGCATATAAGTGCTATTAAAGCTTCAAAATTTTGTTTGTATAAAAATGGCATCACAATAAGAGGACGGGTTTGAGAATTGCTGTGTTAAAGACTTGTCGCGTTTCTGACTCAGTTTTAATTACACGTTTCCTGAATAAGAATATGTCTTTCAAAGATCTTTATGCGATACGCATATATTTTTTATACGTTCACAGTGTCGTTACGTTCTAGATATGTCATCTTGTATAATGAACATACTGAACCCGCTAATTAAGAATAAATAACGCGCGCTGCGATTACAGTGCTATACGGAATACAGTGCTTTTATACATCATATTTACGAGAAGAATCGTAATAAAGGATTCCATGAGGCAATAATACGGTTTATAATTACATTTTGATTAACGTCGACGTGAGATCGTGACGCCCCGCTGTCTGCATGTAACTAGCATCGAATTGCATTGTGCCCTCTCTCCCCGAACCAAGAATCAGAGATAATTACCATCATATCCGTCAGACAGAGAGTCGCGACGTGTAATAGATTTATTTAATCCCGCTATACGCGTCACGCGCTAATGGAGCATCGAGAGAGGAATCAGCGTGACAATTAATTACGTAAAGACGATCGATCACAAATATAGCACGCACATGAAAACCATAGTGCAAAAAGCAACGATGAAAATTACTCGAATAATAACAAAAATAGAGACGTAAGCGGCACGATAAATCTGCTTAACGCCGTTTCCTAATAGCAGTAATTCACGCGGTAATAAATCGCCAGCGGAACTATTTGTCTACGAGGTAAGATAAATTAAACGCGATGCAATTTCTTAATAACGGTAATTCACCATTACTTACCGATTGATCGCTGTGCTTGTGCGAGACTTAGCGGGCTAGATAATTAGTGCCGACAGTATAGCTTTACGTTTCATTAATCCATAATCACGTGTGTATCGCACAATAAAATATTTATTACAATATTTATTAATCGTGATTAGGTGAAACTTTATCTACTTTCATCTAATAAAATTTATAAGTTTGCTTCATGCGCATTCAATCGGCTGCATCAAAGCGTTTTACAGTAATCTGCCTTTTTATAGTTTTTAAATGCGCATTAATATTTACAAATAACGGTCGCTGTAATTTCAATTTAATACGTGAAATATCGTGACTTATATTTTTATTTCCTGAATTTACTCGGATTTTAATTCAATTGTATAATCGGATTATAGAACAGAATATAAAATTATATATTCTCGCCTTTCAGTTGCATCCCATTACAGTTCACAAAATAAAATATCAGATATACATAATAGGACATTAATCGCACGTGAGATTTATATATATTTCTGATTAAAGTTGAATTATATAGTCATTACAAATAATTATAAATTCAAACTATAATCGATCGTTAGTAAATTATTAGCGTACGTGCCGATATCATCCGATATTTCCACAAATCTCCTTTAGCAGCACCATCCATGTTACACAATTATAAATATGTAGCTTTATTGTGTTTCCAAAGCAAACCATTTTATAAGACATTTGACGACAATAATTTTTTATATTTTCATCACATTTGATGGGATTGTGTATTTGCCTGATTCCGTATATTGCTTATCTGACAGGAAAATCATGTCTAACATAAACAGCATAACACAATAATCAAAAGTTCAAGTGTATAAAAACCTCTCGCTGCTATAAATATCGTACAATATATTTTATGCCAATTATCGTGTCTTCGTTGTCATGAATAAACATTACTTTCGTATATCTAGCTAGCAAATAAATGAGATTAATTAGTTCACGTTAACTTACAGTTAACGCTTGATTCATTTTACTTTCCTGACACTGTTCTAAAATGTTAACGAAATTCTACCGACACGCTACCACAAACAGGATAACACGACAACTACATCCTTTCTTTCAGACTGCTAAGATTGTATGAGGGCAGACAGTATAGGGAAGCAGCCGGGTTCCTAATGAAGCTGCCGCATTACACCTTAAAGACTGCATTGCCGGATATTCCGGTGGACCTGTTGATCGAAACTCTACCGCACAGCCTCACCTTGCTGGAGGCGCTCTATTCCCGATTGGTGGAACTAAACGTCAGCGACACGAAGATCCTGCGGATCGAGCAGGTCCTCTGGAGGATAGTGCACCTGATATCGACCAGTCAAGATCACTTCCGACCGCGAATCTGGTGTAAACTTCTCGTGTCATTGAACAGATTATCGCCCAACACGAAGAACGCGCTGTTATCGAGGAAACGTGCCCTAGAGAGAGCTGTAGAAGGACTCGGCAAGCACGGACTGGTGCCTTCCTCGCAGACAAATATCTCCGAGAATTCCGTTACACCGAATTTAGTACCATTGCCGATGGCACTGAAAGAGGAACTCGAGACACGAATGGAAGCGTACAAATTGGCGTTGCACAAGATCGAGAATTTCGGCAAACACGCTGGGACCAATAAAGGTACATCATTTCAATTGTCGTTAATAAAGCTCGCGTTAATGTCATCAAACATTATCGCTCAAACATTATCGCGCTGTGAATCGATAATAATAATGTTTCTATAAACTCGTATTTTTACATTTATAGATGTTCAGACCATTGTCCAAAAGCTTCAAATTAAAGTCACAATATTACTCAATTTTCGTGACGGTATGAATAATCTAACAGTCATAATCATAAATCATATCCAGTTTTATGCGACAACCGGCACATTAATCAATAGCGATAAAGATAGATGGTAACCATGTATTCTTCAATTATATGTTTAATTATTCGAAAAATGAGTATTAATTATCGCTGGCAAGCAATTAGCAAAGCAATATTTTGCGATTATATGCTGTTTTTTTTTTCGCAAATTTGCTTAAATTTCCATAATAAGATTTGGCATTACAACCATCACGGCGATACATTGAAGCACATGATTATCATCGGCTGATGCGCAATGAGATTAGCGTGCATCGCTAACTCCATCGGAATAAAGTTGTGCGGTCGTTTCGTCGCGCTGCCTGTATATTTGGAGCTCCGCGGAACCGTGAAGCATTGGATTTTAACGGAGCCACGAACGCCATATTACGTTTACAAATGCAAATGGACTAATGTCGGGCGCGTGTTAAGCCATTTACATTTACATAGGGGACTGCACACTTCTCTCGTTCGTGGATAGCTTCCCACGACGCGCAATCTGAGACGCGTCATCACTGGGACGTTTCCGTAGAGAAAGGTGCTAAAGACGAAAGAAGTGTGCATGCGTAGAAAGATAAGCGACACCGCATAAATATTGATAAATGTCTAGAGAAATGTTACTTTCACGGTATCATCCCGTGAAAATAAGTCCAAGATATCAGCAACTATTCTTTTTTAATAGTCAACTTTTATATCCTTTTAAATCCTAGTTTTAAACATATATTTTTGCAACCGATTGATTCCTTTCTTTAACCATTATAGCTTTTAATTGCTTTGATAAAACTATTTTAATTATATTAAAGCTGTTTTTAATCAATTTCATGTTATTAGTAATCTCTAATCTCTGCATCATGTAAATTTAATTTATAATTTAATTTAGCAACAATTTAATTATATGTTAAATGTTAAATAAAATTAATGTCTTTTACTAGGAGATAGAAATTATTTCACGGCTTTATCGATTAAATAAAGAAAGGTATATTCGCATATTATGATATAATGGGCATAGACTGTCGTCCGAACTATAACTTATTGGAGCGTGAACCTGTCGCAATTTGTACCTCGTGCGCGAGAGTGCGGATATGCCGCATAATTTAATTTTGTCTCATTATATAAAGGAAAGTATGGCATATTTAGTTATGATGTCAGATACTCCGTGATTTCGCTGTTCATGCCGGATATCGGGCCGGCTATCTACGTAGCCCGAGGCACTGTAAAAAGACGACGGTGGATGCAGTAATAATCGCCTCGCGCCATCATCGGTTCCGCTCTAATAATAAAAAATAATAATAACGACCGACGAGAAAAAGAGAGAGAGAGACAGCTAGAGATAGAGAGAGAAGCTCTGATCTTTTCTTACGCTTTTGTAGCGGATCAAGGTGTACAGGCGGCTTCGCATCAGCGGCAGCTTTCCCTGAAGTACAGCGAGATCCAGCAGCGGCTGATCGATAATCAAAGCCTGTTGAACACCTTGGAGAAAGCGGGCGGGCCGTGTAGCCTGGAGAATCTACTAGCGGAGCTGAAGCACCGGGTCGAGCAAGATAAGGAGGCGCTCCGGCAATGGACGGCCTTGAGGAAATCGACGTCCGGATCGACGAATGCGAAGAATCCGGCTCTCGCCGCCAGACTGTTGCAGTTTTCGCGGGGCTGCGCGCTCGCCCTACAGCTCATGAGCGAAGATAATCCGCAGGTAGGGATTATAAAAACGTTTCCATCCGAACATTCCCAAAATGTAATCCTCGGAAACGCGCAAGAGAACATTCCTATCTTCCTTCCGCATTTTGTGAAAAAGATCAAATAAAGTTGCGCTCAATTTTAGAGATTAACTTGGATAATAAAATGATATTTGTAGAACAAATTCGACTTCAGATAGATGAAGAAATAACGCTTCAAGCTTGCTATCCCAATAATACTCGCGTAAGAGAGCTGTCTTCACCTATTATATCTATACCCATGAAACAATTCGCGGCGACCGTCTCAAGCGTAAAAAAAAGCGTGAAAGAGTTTAACACAGAAACGGCGGACTACTAGAACAATGGGTGCGTCGTATACGATCGCGGCGATTCATTTTTCGAGCTCCGTGAGAAGCCCGCATGGTCGGTCGTAACAATAAGAATGGCAAAGAATCTGCGCCGTCAAGCGCGAGAAAATGACCCCGAAACATACGACAACAACACGTGCAACTGCTACGATTCCCGCGAGATTGCGGCTTGCGACTTGCGACTCCGGCAGCTGACGCGTCCAAGACGAAGCCACGGACGATGTCAAAGGCGCCATATGTAACCACTGTGGAATCCCATAAGAGCCCCTACGGCGGACCTAAATTACACGAGTTTATTCCTGTACCTGCTTACATTCGATTCCTCCCGACTAAGCTGACAGTGGCATATGGCACCGTAAACGCGCAAGCAACTCAATATCAATCGTCGAAATAAATTGCACGCGAATTAACAAATAAACGAGGCGGGATTGTCAACCTGGATAGGGTACAAATTAAAACGAATATGGCAACGTACGTGAGATCTGTGTTTAAACACACCGAGTTTAAACTCGAGCGAGCAGAAACTGTGCATAAATTATTTCCATCAATGGATATAGCACATATATAAGCACATATAGCGCATATTTGATACGCGAACGTCATCGCTTCGAAACTTGAGTCGGAATAAAATATTATTATACGGCATATTAAATGGTCTACGCATGCGCTCGCACATGCGTTTCGTTAATAATAACGTACGTAATAACCTGCCCATTATTGCGAATCAAATAAAAGTTATATTTTTTAATCGAGTGCAAAAAATGAGCGCGCGCTATGGGCAATGCGATTTATTGCAAATTCCATAATTCGCATGTTTTCTTTCTATATAATTTACGATTGAGGACGCGATTACGGAGTTTCGAGTAATATTTTCTCGTCGAATTTATCGCAAAGTCAATATATACAACATTCATGAGAGACATGTTTTCGAGCGCGCGCGTGCGCGACGTATTAATGTACGCGAAGCGTTAATACGGGCGTTATGATTAATATCGCGCATATATATATTAGTGCCAAGTCATAAATTATCGCCGTTGGGAACGACGACGCACACACGTGATAAATATTTCACGCGTCCGGCGTTCGGCGTCCGGCTGCCTGCCGCGTCCGTTGCGTCGCCGCGCGGAGCTTCGCGGCGCAATAAAGATTGCAAATTAAATCCTGCGTCGTGTTGCTGGCTGATACGCCCAGGGTTTTCAGCGGCGTTTTGAAAAAACGCAAAACACAACATCCCGATCGCGACCAGTGCTATTTACGTGACGCGTCGCGGCGTAACAAGTCCGCCTACGGGAATAGCAATCTCTCTATTTCGCCGGGCAATACGAACGGCGAAATTAGTTTGCACACACATTACCTTTGTCTTCCCTCTTTTTGAGTGAGACAAGAATGGAAGGACGACGCTTTGATGACGAAAATAATCACGTCCAGCTCGATCGAGGACGATATTCGGTGAAACGGTGTCTAAAATGTTTCCAGCGAAACGCACAACGTTCACCCTTTCACGAAATTTAGCGAGATTTCGGTTGGAAATGCGGCGAATCCTGCTATCGTCAGGTGTTTAAACGGATTCTCGATAATGAATGCGCACGGCGGTGCTCTCACGATTGCATTACTATCTCGTCAAATTGGAAACAAAAATACGCGAATAATTATCTTATTTACTCTCATTTGCGGACGGCAATAATGGGGAGTAGTAAAAAGAGTGGAAATAGTGGCACCTAGATTGTTATATAACAGAATTGAATTGGAAAATCGGTCGCGGCATGCCAAAACGCGTTAATTGCTTTCCATTGAGTGCATTTTAATTGGAAGCTCGGAGTCGACTGCAAATCCCAATCGAAAACGAGTGGATCAAAGAGTGGTTGCTACGATTAGTATAAGTTTCTCCATAGTACATCCACTCGATTGCTTTAGTATGATAATAGTACTCTAGTCTTTCACGCGATAGTGTAACGTAATTTGCGTGAAAGCAAAACATTATCTTTTTCAATGTTTTTTTATAAATTCAAGATATAATAAAAGATTGATTGACAAATAAATAATATCAGCTAAACAATTTTTTATTCATTTGTCATAAGCAAGATAAATTCTAACATTTTTTCGCAGTTATCTCAGCCTATTCCGATATTCGCTAATTTTCAAGTTCCCTGATTTTCTTTTTACTTTCCATGCCCACAGAAACACTGCTTAAGCATATAATAATTTAAAAGATAAGAAAATTCTTCAAAGTTTTACGAATTATAATATAGAACCAGTGCAAAATTTAAAATTACAACGGATCCATATCAAGTTAATATTTTAAAGATAGAAAGAAAGAGAATATGTCCTAAAAAATTAAAGCATAGTCAAGTCAGGTGTTTATCCCTAGTCAATCTCTAGATGAGTATCTCTAGTCAATAGAGATACTCGTTGCAAAGGAAATAAATATTCAGATATAAAAATGAATATTCAAAAAATGAATATTCAAAAATGTATAAAACTCTCTGCAGACGAAAAGACAGTGTTTTATAACCAAGCACTTGTGCGTCTAAAGCCTGTGCTATATCACGAGTTCTCCTGTGCAGGTTTTCCATTTGGACGAAAATCTCGGCGATGACTACGAGGAGGAGTCCAGCAGCGCTGGCTACCACACGGACGAGAGTTGTAGCCCGACTCCGGAGCCGGTTGTAACGGGTAGTAACTGCGAGGTACTCAGCGTGGAGGAAAATTGCTCGGATTTAACCTCGACGAGTATCACAGTGGAACAGCTCGCCGAGAGGTACGGCGCACTCTACGCCCAGGCCAACTTGCATACCCTGGATGCCCTGGACGCCCTGGAGTCCCTCAAGGACGCTCCTGATTTAAAAGCGAAGATTCTCTACTCGGTGGTGGTGGTGAGTCTCATTTTAAGTCGAGTAATTGTAAATGGAACCAAAAGGTGCTTCTCTTTTCGCTAAAAACTGCGATATTACTTGTCAACTGAATAACTACTTTTTAATCGTACTTGAAATCTCATGGTCCTATTTCTTTTGAATAATATTCTAACTTTAATATTAACAAAAAATAAAATATATCAATATAAATCAAATATTTAATAAAAAATGTTTTAAGTAAAAGATAAATTTAAATTATATGATAAATTAATCAGCGATGTTCGACATATAGTATTATACAGAAATCGCAAAATGAGAAGTCATACTAGACCAGCGGAAATCCTACTTTTTCTCGTCGATCAATTTAACGTGACTTTCGTCATATGAAAGTGGCCGACAAAAGGCGCAACGATGCGGCCGCGAATTATTATATGAATAGCACTCAATCATCCGCAGAAACGTGTACGAATTAGCCACGTGCAGGCACGAAATTGTACGTATATTCACCGGTTGCACAATACGTCACTGTCCCGTTTCGCGCCTGTATTAATAAAATACGAATAAAAAGTTTTCCAGTAAATATATTTAATATTGTAGTCTAGTTTAAACTAATACAGATGGCCCTCGAATAACAACGGTATTTGAATTGCACGGAGTCTCGAATAGCATGGTAAAAAATTGACAACTCTTGAATAAAACACGGTCCTTGAGTTACACAAAGTTGGAATAACACGTTCACTCAATAAAAAAAGTATACCCACATACGTAGATGCGGGGATAAAGCTTGTTGTTTTTTAAAAGTTTTTTTAAATAATTTCTTGGAACTGCCCTATTGCATATGTATCTGGAATCTTGAATTGCGTAATTTTCAATAACACAGAACCAATTAATCGACGACTACCTGTATCTGTTTGATTTCGTTAATACACGATCATATGAATAATTAATTAATTAATTAAATTTGTAGGAATCACGCTACGTAAAAGAAATTTGCTTATTTTGATTGCAATCTAATTAACATTTTGGCAAACACGTGTTTACGCTAATAAAAATGCGATTGATACTATACGAGATAGTAATAACAATCATAACATACCTAAGTTTTCAATAGGCCTGTTCGTTTTAGCTGAACTTCTTGCACGGTTCATCTTTTCTCTTTTTCTCTCCAACGTGAAAAGAAATGTTAGGTATATTACAATAAAAATAAGCACATTTTTTTTACGTAGCGTGATTCCTACAAACAACTAATGATTTGTTATATATAATTTTCCATTTTTTTTAATTACTACAAACATACGATATAGGAAGCCATTTCGATTCTTCTGTTCCTATAAACGTACAATTAATTATTCCAGCATATTGCTTCACACGTAAATCAATAAGCGCCAAAATAAACAAATTTCAATTATTTCGTAATGTAATAAAAGATCCTTTCGTTTAAATCAATAGATGTAATTTAATTCTCGGAAAAATATTATAAATGTTCACCGTTTATTTTAGAAAAATAAACTATAAAGCTATTTGTTTAACGTACACTGTAAACACATTTGCATCCTCGTATACCAGTTTTATACTGCAATTGCATATTGAAGCCGGAGTGTGTGCGAATCTCGTTTGTATAATAAATGAGAAATAAATTCGAGAGACGATGATGCGATAAAAATCCACGAAAGTCATATAAAAAATGAGCTATTAGTGTAATGCATACATAATTAAGCTGATACATACGTGCACACGAACCTAGATAAGCTTACAAGAATTGTATATACGTTGTCAAGAGCAAACGCAGTTCATGTCAAAGGTTTTAGAACATGCAGCGAGATATTGGATTACACCCCAACTCACAGCGAAATCTGTTACACCGTAATTACATCGAGTGAGAGATTAAGCTATTTAATGTATATCCCGAAAAATGTTTCTCATATGCGTAACATAATTTATTTTATACAAATCTTTTTTAATATATTACACATGCATGCGTCGATGCGTTAATTTTGATAATTTAAAAACTCATCTGTATTAATTGAATTACGCAATCAAACTGACATGAATATTTTTATTCGAAAGCAGATATTGAAAATTGGATAACATTTTTCAACTTTTTTAATCACACCAGCAGCGTATTGCTCCTTTCAGATTCTGTTATTCCAAATATAAACACGTTTCTAAAAATAAAGTCGCATTAGTATCGCGTGTCAACAAGGATGATCGTACTATGAACTATCGTATAAGCTCGCCAAGCTCATTTTCGCGTGACATTGCATCACGAGTATCACGACATTGACTGTTACTTCGCAAATCGCTATGGAAACTGAATGTCGTGCTGTCGCGACATTGAAAGCTAACGACATCACATCAGCTTGATCATTTATCACTAGTAATATACAATAAGACATAACATATGTCTCTAAAAAATATGTTGGCAAAATTAGGATTTAGACTTTCCCATTACTGCAAATCCAAGTGTATTATTTTTGACTGAAACTCTTTTTACACATTTCTTGTGTGTTAAATTACGTCATTTATCATATTTAATCGGATTAAATTAAAAGTTAATACGTTCAATCGTGTTAAATGACGATTTAAAATGGTAAGGAATGTGTAAGAAAAATTTCAACTAAAATAATACACTTGGATTTACAGTGATGTGCGTATGTAAAAGAGTAGAGTTTGATGCTTTCAATATACCGCACCTGGGATACATCTCAATCAGACGCGACGAAACAGATAAATCGTAAACCTTTCACGCGCGTCCACGATCAATTTCAATGTTCCGCCAGCATCGAAAAAGTCGCGGTTGTGTGTCGTGCGGAAGACAGAGAGTCGACGAAATCTAATGGGAACGCACACACTCGGCCGAGAGTGTTGCGGTATGTCGACAAACACTTGTTCTCCACTTGCACTCTCACGTCAGATAACATGAAAGCCGGGTGCCAACGAGGACACCGAGGCCTGCATGCACTCCGTGTGCAAGCGCGCGCTCCGTGTTTACACGTGCTGTAATCACGCTTTAAAGGCTACGCCATACCGGATCTACTACCGTGTTTCCTTTTCGTCGAAAATATTCCGCGAGCAATATGTATGTTATCCGCAGTCAATATCTTCCCCCCTCTCTCCCCCCCTGGCAACAACTCAACGGAAAGTTGTCGTTTTCCACAACGTTTAAATATTAAATTTCGATAGATAAGTTTATAATATCAAACTTTTTTTTAATTAAAGTTTGCGCGAAGTCAAGCAGATAATGAGATCCTGCTTATCTACCCCTGAAATTTAATTTACAGAAGCTCCTCTATTTTCAGTTGCTCGCAATTCAGACTGTTGATGCTTCGCTTGCTCTGACGAAGAGAAATCGCTCTCTTTCTCTTTTTCTCTATCAAACTGATCAAGACTAATTACGTGCGAAGGAATAGAAACGTGAAGTGCGTATAAAATATGATTCTGTGCATTTTTTTCGAAAGTAGAGAATACACGAAGGAGAAAAAATTCGTTCAATTTCAGGTCATGACGAGTGCGATTTAAAAGAGTGAGAATACAGGACGCACGATAGAATCAATAGAATAGCGACGCGCAATATTACATCTAAAAATCTATAGATCTTCGGATCTCACACTGTGTAAAGAAGTGATAAATTTCTTTTATCTACTACTTTAAACCGGTATTTACAAAGTAAATTCTTCATTGTAGATGAAGCGTAAAGCGACCCATTTCGCGTCCGCGCCGTGTCGTCTCGTTGATCCAAATAATTTCATTATAGCGGAAAACTCCATTTTATGATCAACGGAGTCTTTGAGCAAAAAATTACCGGCCTCTCGTACGACATACTTTTTAAAATTTTAAAAGCGGCTATTACATTGCAAATACGTACAAAATTTAAATTAATTATTCAAAGGGGGGTGTACGCGATTATTAATATTAATTCTTGATGTTTTTTAATTAAACGAATTTTTCTTGCGTTAATAACTGCACTTTATATACAGACTGTATTTTATGATCGCGTAATGAAAGTAATTGCAGTGTAAACGGGAAAAAGTCGGTATGCCTTCGCGAAATATTAATCCGCATAAAAACACAAAACTCTTAATTAGCAGCAAAATGCAAAGTGCGAACGGAGTGTGCTTTAAAATTGCGCGTGTTTTCGGAGGAAATTCCATTATTTAAAACAAAATGGGTGTTTTGCAAAACAGTACGTGCAAACTCCATTTCCAGCGTATTGGCTTTTAATATTTCTTTTTATTTGTAAGTGGAAAGTGAAACGCAATGGGGAGAAAAAAAGGATAGCCGTGAACGAGAGTGCGAGAGATAACTTTTTATACGCGGGAGTTAATCTTAAAATGAATTTCGAGCAGAGGATCGACAGTTTTTGTATATATAAGTATGCTGCAAGATTATTTTTACTACCACCACGCACCTGTCTCCCACCCGATCGATGGACCATTAACGTCAAAGCCGCCGGGGAGGAAAAGAGCGAAGAGATGATGATCGGGTGGTGCGAAAGAGGGGAGCCGAAGGGGAAGCACACTTTTGCGATAGAGCATACTCGGCAAGCGACGGAGAAAGAGAGAGAGACGCCTAGTCCGTCAGCCTGAGGCTATTAGGTACTTTGCATATTTACACGGATACATACAGGTGCCTTTCACACGGATATCTGAGAAATCGATGAACTAAAATAAATATCCACGAAGAAAGCGACACACACGCGCTAACACGAACTATTCCTCCTCGATACCTCACGCGCGCGCGTTTATGTCACCTTGTAGAATGGACTGCTGTCACTTGGTCGATAACCCGACGATTCGCAAAATACATATTTTCCCCGAGAAGTGTCACCGCGTGTGATTTCGACGACGATGTCAGGAACTGGTGGCCAAGCCACGAATCCAACACGCGTCGTTTTCAAACAAGCAACTGGCAACTAATTCCATTGTGAATATACAGTGGATTTCAATCGACGATACGATTTATACTAATTATAAGCCTGAAATAGCTTAATGTATATGTATAAACTTTTTCGCTACCTCTCATGCAAATATCCCCAAGACAGGATAAAGCATTGAAGGACGAACGAAATATTGGCAGCCACTGATCGACATTTCAAAGACCCGAAATCCAGTAAAATGTCCTTTAAAGAAAGCTTCTTCGCCGCTTACTGTCGTATCAAATAAAGTACGAAAGGCAACCACTTTCTTAAATAATGCAGACGAGATATCTAACTTGCTTTTCCGCCGGTATTTCCGTCGCTATCTAGTTTCGCGCACAGATTTTCCGGTAAAATAAGCACGGCGGAGGCACTTCCTCACTACTATTTGCCTCGTGCATTTTTATTTTCTTTTACGAGGAAGCTTTCATCCTCACATGTACCTTGAATGTGTTTGTAGATAGAACGTGGCGACCGTGTGTCAGTGCTGATAAGTCATGATACTTTCTTAAAACAAGATTAGTTACAATATCAGCTGTGTTAATTTGTAGATATCGACTTGAAATTGTCCACGGATAAACATTTAAATCATTTTAAGTTAATACTAATTAATTTATCTATGGTAACTTTTGCTGATATCAATATCAAGAATCTTGAAAGTACAGAACACTTATAATATTAAACTTTGTATGCGCGAGAGTTAATATTAAAATGAATTTCGAATAGGGAATATTCCTCCTATATGTATAAACGATATTTCATATGTATAAGTATTCTACACTATTACAAGATCAAGAGATACAGTCTCGCGCCAAGTATATTTTTCATCAGATATATCTTTTCATAAGCGTTATTTTTCTTATCACCAATGACTCAATTCCACGAGATTAACTTAGAATTGATAAAAATGTGGAGACATAAGAAATAATTTATGAATATAAATAATTTCTTTAATGATAAATTACTTTTTCGATTAAAGACAAATACCGACATGTGTTTGAAAAAAATATTTTTCATGTCGTTTCACATAATAATCATTTTGTAGAAAATTTAAGATCCTATAAATGCTGACGAATTAATGATATAACTGTTAACTATTCAGTTAAATTGTTTTAAGTTTTCTCAACGTTCAATGTATCAATTAATCGAATTCTGCAAAATACAACCAACTGATATTCAAAATATTATTTGCGTTGCTTTCTTGATACAATTGCGAATGTGATAGAGCAAGGTATATCTATATACAGCTGACAGCCTATCGCCTCGCGGCTAATATGTTTCATAGCGGAAAAATGGCTTTCACACACGAATACGCGAGAAGCATATGCGATAAAATAGATATTGTAAGGCGTTTTTTTTTTCTAATGAAGACGTTTTTTCGCTCTTTCTTACACACCCACGCCCACTGTACAGAGTGTCCCAGAAATACTACTCCTCTCGACTGTAAATGAGATGAGAGAATTTGTTAGAGAGATAATCGTCTGTTAGAGACTGCAATTCCTCACGTCGCTGCTTACACAAATAACAGCTTCAGCAACCGATTACAATTCAATTTAATGCTGCGGTATGAACTGAAGCCCCACGCTACATTCAGCCGGCCGTCACGCAGAGCAGCCAAAGTCTAACTTTAAGTTCTAACTCAATCTCGTGGGATTTCTGTATATATCAGCAGTTCTCTAACTTTCGGCATTCTTGATGTTAATATTTAATATCAACCAAAAGTTATCATAAATCTGTAACTTTAACAATAACTTGAATGCTCCTTCATGATAATTGACAATTGATATCATTTTCAAAGTTTTTATAATAATACGTATTTATATAGCTCTCGATTTATATTAAATTGGATAAAATAATTGCGATCCTGAAATATAAATCTTTTTGAAATAAATTACCGATAATATAATATTTCTACATTATCGATTCAAATGTAATGAAATATTAGGGCATGATTTAATCAGGATATTGTTACAAGTTTTCGTTACGTTGTAATTTTAATGTTTCAATCAGAAGAATGTTTGCGTCAAAAGTTTTTAAAGTCGAGGTTTTCAAACTCCTCGTGAATCAATTCCGACAATATCGATTTCTTTTAAGCAGTAGAAAATACTGAGTTACACAAACGAATGGAGAAGTTAGACCGCATTGTGCTCCTAGTAACATACCAATTAAAGTCTAGCTAGTTTCTCTTCAAAAATTCATCTTGTAAGTAAAAAATGCACGAGTTGTAATATAGCAAACGCGAACGTTTGTATGCTTGTAACGGTACCGGATAAACAGTTAGCCGTTTAAAACGAGCCGTTGTTAAAAGCGGTAATTCATCAACAATGCTCGTAAATTATCACTGTAAACCCGATGGCAAAGAGGATTCTTTCGTGTCATGTGATTCTACGGAATGTCGTCGCAATTACGCGATAACCGGAAAAACGTAGAAGAAACACGCTCGCGTGCCATCAAATTAAAGCAACCAGTATTTTTATAACAATAACTTCAACGCTGCTCCGATTTTCACAGTTTACGATCGACATATACTGTCAGCAGTAAAATGTGTTAGTAACAATTTTTAATAAAGTACAAAAATTGCTACCAACAATTCGAGCAATTTGAATATAAATATGTTAAAAATTTTGCACATAACATCAATTTTCGGACAAATATATAATACAAATATATCTCGTAAATGCAGAGAAATTAAAAGAAATTGTCATCGTGTTTGAAATTACATTAAATATGTGAACGAGTATGATTATTGCGATTATTTAGCACAAGCAAAGATTAATAACTCAGAATAGAACTCGACTTTTAGTGAATACTTCTCAACATTTTAAGTTTTGCGACACTGTTGCCACATTTTTAAAATATGGTAAGAATAAAAAGTTGTTATAAATCTTGTGAAAATTATCAAGCATCTAATAAAAGTATAATTATGATTTACTCGATAAGATGTAGAAGATACAGTTTTTAATGATAGCCACAACTTTGCAAAGTAATGTTTATCAAATATAGTTTTCTTAATTCGATGTCATAAGTATCATAAAATTTTTGCACAAAGAAATTATTTAATCGTTTGCACAACGATCTCAACGTGGAACGTATATATTATGTGTCGACGTTAATCATGAATCAGCGGACGTGTTCTAAAACCTGCTGCAACTCTAATCTCTATAATACCTAACATCCGTTCATGATAATCGTGCTGCATATTGAAAGGGTCGCACACAAAACGTGCCCAACTACTTCCGCATTCTGTTCTATTCATCTTAAATATCTTAATAAACCACAGAAGAGATTTGCAGTGTCTCGTCGAGAAGACGCGCGTAATTTGCACGCGCAATTATCTAGCGACATGCATATTTTAGAACAGAATTAAAGGGCTTACCAATTGCGGCGTCCGTTAACCGGCATGTCTTGACCTTTGCAGCTCTCGTGGCGTCTAGCCGGCATGGTCCAGACGTCGAGGCGCCTGGAAGCCTTGAAAATCCTGAACGGCGCGACCGCGGCCCAGACGGCGGCGGCGACTCCAGAGCTCGATGAATGCATAAAGCGACAGCTGGCCACTTCCGGGGCGCAAACCGGTTCCCGCGAGGTCGCCGAGCAGGTGGTCAACCAGTTGGAGAGGACACTGTACGACTTTCCGTGTCTGCGTGGCTGCGCCGAGGTCAAGAATTACGCCACCGCGTGCTCCACTTTGGCCTGGGCGTGCCTGGCACGTTCCACGCCGTTGGTGCTCGATGCGGCGCAAAGTCTGGAGTTTCGCCGAGAGATACACGTGAGGCATCACGCCTCGCCGAATCCGCACGGGACCAGGATCAGGTCGGTCCTGTGGCCGGGACTTCGGGAAGGTTGTCAAGGTCCCTGCCTTCACAGAGCCGTTGTCCTAACTTGTTAAAGTACTGCGACTTTCCTATAAAAAAAAAAAAGAAAAAAAATTCATGCAGAATTGTCTTTCAAAAACATATTCATGATACGAAAACATTTTTCACATACATAAAATTTTTTAAGTGCAAGTAGTCTCCACACTGTAGAAATCAGCCCCAGGTAAATGAAACTGTACAATAATTTTCTAATGATTTAATTAAATATAAATTAATAATAAAATAATATACTCATATATTTAATAATCGCAGAACAATTTATCTCCGTTTCAAATATCTATTTTAATATATTTTGAAGAAAAGTGTCAATAAAACTTATGCAGATTTACATAACACATTTACATAACACATAATTATAGCATGACACAAATAATTCAAATTTGTGCAATTATCAATTTACAATTTACAGACGTATAACCGTCTCTCTGTAGTGTTTTCAGAAGTGCAATTTGACAACGAAAAGAGAGAGATGTACGTAGGTCGAACTCGCTAATTGAATGTACGGTGAAAGGCAGAGACAATAACGCGTGGGATGCTGCACCGCAGCATGCTCCAATTTCATTCGCGCTTATGATATGCATTCTACACCGTTGACACTTGACGCCGCAACCGGACCTTAAATTTCAGAAACGTATCTCGGGCGTGCTGCTCGCGGTTCCGCTAACCGCGGAATCAAGAATTCAGAGTAGTATGATATGGTATGTTGCGGTGCATCAGTCCACCATTTTTATTTACACAAGTCTTATCTATATCACATTGTCGTAAAGAAGAAAAATGAAGATTGACATTGAACGTATCAATCGATACGTTTGATCCAAAAAAAGATGAAGAATAAAAAACAATTACGTAATATACCATATCATAAAATAAATGAATAAGAAATATTCATAAAAATATAAAAAAATGTGCATATGTTTGTCATATTTAATAAAAGATTAACTCAAAAATGAATTATTTATTATTTTCTCGTGAATGATATTATGTATCTTCATATTATAAAACACTTACGTTTCTCCGATAAATGCGGTACCTGTAAAAGACTTTTTTTTCGATTTAACAACTGGCGTTTTAAGAAAAGAAATTCTTTAATTTGACTAATTATTTCTCGAAACTTGAATAGATTGCACAGATATACCTATTTGTTATAATCAAAATATGATTATAGAATGTAAGAATATAATAACGATAGGAAATAAATGGACCATTAAATATTGTATAACGCTAAGAAATATTAATATATATTTTTTATTTATATCTAACAAGCTAAGGGACTTTTTAATGCTCAAATGTATGAAATTTATATTAAATTATACTATTATATTTCGATATAATATCGTCGACTATATTACTCTAACAATAGTCGACATAATATCTTAATAATCAATAAGCTCTATTTTATAATTATAACAAAGCTTATACTGTGTATTATTTTGGTCGCTACAAGTTTATATTAAAATCATGTACATTAACAATAAAAATGTTAATAAAAATGTTTAGCGAAACGTTTATCACGACGTTTATTAAAATATCCAATCAGGACAGAGAGAAAAGGGCGATATTAATTTTTTAATTACGAAGACTGATCAAGGCAGAAATTCTAACGAGTCAAATTTAAGCATAATTGGCGCAATTTCGTCTAAAGAGGAAGTCTTAATATACATAGGTACACCACCGAAATATACCATATAACTGAGACGAGAATTATGTGCTTTAAGAATTTAGCTGTTCCAATTTCGTTCGACATTAATATATCTATATCGTCAAACAATTTTTACGTTCTTATCGATAAAATTAACATGTAAATATATTATATAGTAAATTATAATTTTTAATTCGATGTGTCTTCACATTATAATTATTATCAATGATATTATAACATTTCTAATATATAATTTCAGACGTTAACTCAACACATCCATTACATTCTTTTAAAAAATAAAACAATTTTTTTCACAAAACAATAATCTCTTATATATAATAAATAACCATGTTATATGTCCAATTAGGCGATTTTAAAATAAGAATAACGATTAAGATTTCAAGCGAATAAACGTCATTCAAATATGTGAATTATAAAACGTGATTAACAATTTGCAACGCCTCTGAATTAATGATATCAATTTAACTAGGACATCCGTCCAACGAAAAGTACATCTTTTCTCGCAGTTGTTGATTTAACGTATTTTTGGAATGTGATTGAAGAAGAAAAACTAAAGAACTAAAAGAAAAAGATACGAGATTGTTTCTTTACCCGTTTAAATCTCTCGAGACTCTATACTACTCTCTTGCGTTTTTATTGCGAAAACAGGTGCCTTCGATATGTTTTCGTCGGCAACATCGGCAAAAGTTTTCTGCGTATCCGTCCTACATTTTTTAATAGCGTTTATAAGAAATACACTGCAAAGATATAAAAACATACTGGAAACATATACAATCGAAGTTAATAATGTAAATTCAGCAGTATAGTAAACATAACATGATTATCTGACATATTATTAAGTAAGAATACACGATAATCTCGTATTTAAAATCCAAGATTTATTCTTGTTAACGCAGAGATAAAGATTTGTGGAGTTGCTCGGTGAAATAATCAATGAACAAGCTTGTAGTTTCGAGAGTTTATTATAAATCTCATCCTATGTACACTCTTAGGTATGTCTCTAACGTTTCTACTGATCGAAGTATAAAAGTATGTCCTAACGATTATTCGTTTAGCCCTGAATAATTATTGATTTAAATTACATTTTTTGTATTAATAAGAAAATTAGTCAATATTGTAATATATAAACCACTTTTCTCGAAATGGTATAATGTACAATTTTAAAAATTAATAACTATCCTCGACAGACCTAAACGAATAGATCGACTGACACTGGAAATCGCTTTGGTCGAATTATTTGATCGTCTCTAATCCTCATTTATTATATGATGGAAGGTCGAAGTAATATTTCTAGCTCAATACATATATATGCTTTGTATATATCCCAACAAAGATTTAATATAAAGGCAACGTAATATCATCCTTAATGGATAACATCAGAATATATTTAAATCTATGGCAAATGAGAGGTTTTGAATGCAAGAGTTTGACAAATGAGATTGTATGCAAAATGAAATTTTTTTTCAAAGATATACATTTTCTCTTTGTCATTTCTTGTTTTGCTCTTGAGATACACTGTATAATAACGTACAATTTCGCATTTATATCTTATATCTTCGATTTTTACAGTTGTCGACTTTTAGATGTTAATATTTTTCGATAAATATTCCGAATAAGTTGCATGAATAATTATCACGTTCTTATTAAAAACATATAGAAATAATTTGTATCGATAAAAAATTATATACTTAATATTATATAATATGTAATTATTGAATCTTCTTTTATATGTGTTATGGATTGTTTATAATAATCAACAATATTCCATTAAATAGAGTAGGTCATAAAACGCTGCTATTATAAATGCAATAGTAACGTTGCAACTTATCTGGTAGTAACAATTTGCTAGAAAATATATATATATAATTTCGTATTATAATTAACTTGCAAAAATTTGTTCGTGATAACTCAATTTGTGGTGGACATAATATATTTTTAATCACCTTGTCAAATTCAACGAATTACAAATTAGAAATATAAATATTATATTTCGTTATTAAGAATTAAACACGGAGAGATATCTTTCTAATATTACATATGAGTATTACATCGTATGAATAAGCGTCGGATATGAAATATGAATTTTCTAACGATAATATCGATGAGATAACATATGCATAAAACAATATTCAAGAAATTATTCCCAAATAAGCATTCTGTTAGATTAATATGACGCTACGTTACGGAATCTTTTTTATTTATAGGAGTAAAAGCTATTTATCATGATCTATCTAAAACATTAAAGATAATTATAAATCATAAATCATAGGTCGGAAACATATACTAAAATTAAACACATTACATTTCTGTACATGTGGGTTTTATCATATTCTATATTATACCGCATTAAATGTTGGTACATTTCATAGAATCAAGTCTTTATTTGTAAAATAGTCATGTCAAAAGTTAATAAAATTGTACTCTTCACTATATAATTTATTCTTTCCTTTCTAAATAACTTTATCCCAAAATTGATATAGAAAAATTATGCACTACAACAATTTTAGCAATTTACACGGTGGAAATAGCATTGAATTCTTCTAATTTAATTGTTGAAAATGTAGCGATATTATATTTTAAAATTTCGAAAAAACTTTCCGAAAGTTAGAGAAGAAATACAACCCCTGTTCAAGAAAATTTTAAAAACAATAAAATGAGGATACAGTTATTTTTAATTAATTAATTAGAAAAGAAACTATTTACTAGCAAAAGGTAAAATCAATGCTTCTAGTTGTGTATTTTTTGGTACTTTTCTCGAAAATATAAAAATTTTCCTTTTTTTCTGTATAATGACACATTGACTGTCCATGATAGTTTACATGATAACACACCATTTTTTTGTACTCTCAGTTGGTTCAGCCGTCATTTTATTGTCATCATTCTTTATCCCGCTAATGTCTAACTTGGTAGAGTCGAAATTATAAGGTGTGGCTTTCGGCGTGGATACCTGCATGCTAGGTATGCGCAAACCTTTCAACAGATTTATAGATGTACTTAGTAAACTACCCTCTCCATCCGTTTTCTGCTTTTTCACCGAGCTCCAATTTTCTGTTTCAATTTTACGTTTTCTGTCCAATGGGCTACCATTCGTAGAGAAACTGTCGGATAGTAAACCGCTACCATAATGTAAGACTTTAGCTTCTGTTCCTTCATCCTGCGGCATAGACATAGTCGATGTATTCACGAAAAGAGAACTATTTGGTGATATCCTTCTCTCACGGAAAGTAACGTGACGCAGTCTACCGATGGAATGTCTTCCCGAGATGTTTCTCAGCGTCTTTCCAAATGACAGGTCTCTTAAATGTTGACTCGGCATGCCTTCCGAATTGCTTACGTCATAGAGCTTCGAATTATCTTTCAGACAATCGTTGAGTCTGATTTGTACATCTTTTAGCATTATAGATGAATCGTAAGAAATGAATGATGCATCATTTGCAGCGTCATCGATATTTTCTTTATCCTTCTGAGTGTTGCTCTGTGTAACGGATTCCGACATTTCGGATACTTCCGACGTTGTGGATTCAACAATGTCGACCGAGTAGCTCTCATTATCGGTTTGAGCTTCGCTTCGCATCTCTTCTTTTTCATTTATACCGTTCTTCATCTCCTCCTGTACCGGAGGCAATTCTTCTCCCTTATCATTGTCCTTTGGTTTGTCGTCTAATTTTTCTTCTCCATTGTTTACCAAACTTTGATCAATTTCATATGTTAATTTAATATCATTCGCATCTTGCTCTTCCACTTCTTTGGTTTCAGCATTAACATTTTCTAATAAGACTTCCTCTTTTTCTTGTTTTTCTTGGGAAACAGTTTTGCTCTCCACAAATATTACTTCCTGGTTAGTTTTCGCAGAAGTTTGAAGTTCGCTTGACATCTGTTCGGAGGAATGATCAATATATTCTTTGCTCACAGTAGATTTCTCAGCTTCAATAGTTTTGTTGTTACTGTTCTCTTCTGTAACATTTTCTTTGTGAATTGAAACATTCAACTTGACTTCAGCTTCTTCCGATCCCGGCTGCATCTCTGCACTTTTGGTTTCTGGATTTTTCATTAGTACTTTTAATTGCTTTATTGCTTGATGTTCAACTTTTGCTGGAGGACGAAGTTTGCTCTATAACATACATTATTTCCACATTGCAAAAACCCAAGAGGCAATGCAAAAAGAACTTAACAAATAATTGAAAGTCATAGACTTATCATTAGC